AGTGTTAGAACTTATAATGAATTCATAATGAATTTACTATAAACTTGTACTTCTAAAAAACCTTATGTCTAAACACATAATTCTAAATCAAATAAGGAGTGAGTATACTTATATCATTTATTACTCAAGCAATATCTAGTAACTTATAACCAAGTGAAAGAAAGCATTCTTGATGTGCTTCAGAGTTTAACTATTGCATATGTTAGAAAAGGTCAAGCGGCGTAGTGGGAAATGGAAAAATGAACCATGATATTCTCAGGTTAGCTGTGAGTACTTCGCATAAACATGCCATTTTCTTCTTCCATGACTGCACAGAATTCTTTGGCCATACCAAACAGCAAAGGTAGAAGACAGAAGGGCCTCAGCTTCCTGGGCTTGCTTTGTGGCCGGGGGTCCTCAGCGCACCTGGACTTTGTCAATCAGGTGGGCCTCCAAGGCTGGCTCTCAACACATCTCCTTGATGACTAGTGAGGCTGAACATTTTTTCATGTATCTGTTGGCTGCTTGTATGTCTTCTTTTGAGAAGTGTCTATTCATATCTTTTGCCCACTTTATAATGGGGCTATTTGTTTTTTTCTTTTCAGCACATTTGAGTTCCTTATAGAACCTTGACGTTAGGCCTTTGTCAGACATGGATTTGGCAAATATTTTTTCTCAGACTATGGGCTGTCTTCCTGCTCTCTTGATGGTTTCTTTGACTTTGCAGAAGCTTGTCAATTTAACGAGGTCCTACTTGTCTAGCTTATCTCTTATGGCATGGGCACTTTGGGTTTTGATCAGGAATTGGTTGCCAGTTCCAACTTCCATAAGAGTGCCTCCTCCATTTTCTAAGGTTCTTATAGTTTGAGGTTTTACATTTAGGTCTGTGATCCATTTAGAGTTAATTTTTGTGTTTGGGGATAAGTAGGAATCCTGTTTCAATCTTCTGCATGTGGTCAGCCAGTTTTCCCAGTACCATTTACTGAATAGGTTCTCCTCTCCCCAGTAGTGGGTGGTGGAGGCTTTGTTGAAGATGAGTTGGTTGAGAAATTGAGGTTTTGCTCCTGAAATCTCAATTCTATTCCATTGGTCTATATGCCTGTTCTTGTACCAATACCAGGCTGTTTTTATTATTGTAGCTTTGTAATAAAGTTTAAAGTCTGGGAGTGTGATACCTCCTGCTTTATTTTTTCTGCTTTGTTTTTTTTTTGCTGAGGATTTGTTTTGGTTATTCTTGGTCGTTTATGTTGCCATATGAATTCTTGTATTATTTTTTCTAGGTCTGAGAAGAATATTGCTGATAATTTGATGGGTATTGCATTAAATCTGTAGATTGCCTTAGGTAGAATGGACATCTTAACAATATTGATTCTTCTGATCCATGAACATGGGATATTTTTCCACTTGTTTGTGTCATCTTTGATTTCTTTGAGCAGTGTTTTATAGTTTTCATTGTAAAGTTCTTTCACAGCTCTGGTTAGGAAGATGCCAAGGTATTTCATTTTTTGTGGCTATTGTGAATAGAATTGTGCTTTTTATTTGGGTTTCTGTTTGTTTATTATTGGTATATAGAAATGTGATTGTCTTTTGCACATTTATTTTATACCCTGAGACTTTGCCAAAGTGAATATTGCTTTCTTTTAAAGCAGTTACCCAAATGAAATGATGGGTAGCTGCTTTAAAATAAAGCAGTGTTTTTTGGTGTTTATATTTGCTTTATTACTCTTCTATGACTTTTATGAACAGCCTGGGAATCAAAAGACCTGTTCTTTACCTTTGTAGCAAACTGTGTCATTTATGAACATAAGAAAGGAAAAGATGAAGATTTTTTTCCTTTGCTCAAATATCTATGGCATTGTCTGATCTCTCTAGGCTAAATTAGGTGGAAAAAAATCTGAAGCCATTTTGAAAGTATATAACGTTCTCTAGGGTTCTAGACCAGAGATCTGTAAACATTTTCTCTCAAGACCCAGATAATAAATATTTTAGGCTTTGCAGGCCATGTAGTCTCTGTGGCAATGGCTCAACTCTGCTATTATATTTCAGAAGCAGCCATGGATGATAGGTAAACAAATGGGTGTGACAATATTCCAATAAAATTTTTATTTACAAAACAAACAGCAGATTTGACCCCCAGATTATAGTTTGCTGACCTCATTTTCAATTATTTAAACTTTGTCTGCCAGAAATCTAATTCTTTGGCTAAGTGATGTCTTACCAACCTTATGTTTCAGAGCCTCTTTCTATCACCAAAGATTCTAGTGGATTTTCTCTTCAAAAATAAAGTATGATATTTATAAAGCTAATGATTTTACCTACTACATTCTAAGCTCCGTAAGTGTCAGAAAGGAAGCCTGATATTGCTAAGTCATTTATTAATCTTTTTCCTTCTAAGATTAGAATTGATGCAAGTTACAGCTCTACTTGGTCCAGATATATATTGATTCCTGGCCTTTTCCTGTGTTTTATACCTCTTTACAATTATAAAAAGTTCACAAACTGTTCAATCAGCATTTTATTTTATTATGACCATCTGGACCACAGATCTGAAAAGTGTCTTTACTTCTATCAGTTAATTCCTCTGGAGCTCAAAGATAGGTGTAAAGAATACCCCATGGTTAACTTGAAAATAAGACCTATTTTTTGTGGTCTTATAGTCACTTTCTCACATTATGTCTCAGTTTGTCCATGGGCAGTTTGGGACTCATGAAACCATTTTTTAATGAAAAATTCTGGGGCAGAGGGCAACATAGGAGAAATTGATGCCTTTCATTATGAATTTTGTGCATAAAATTTTTCCATGAAAGAAAAAGTTTCTAATCGTCTTAACAAATATTTTGGAGATTATTTTAAAATGTATGTTGTTTTGTTTGTTGAACGATATTTGAGGATACAATTTTTTTCTTTTTTGAGTTGGAGTCTCACTCTGTCACCCAGACAGGAGTGAAGTGGCCACTCCCGGCCACTGCAGCCTCGACCTGCTGGGCTCCGGCGATCCTTCCACCCCAGCCTTCCAAGTAGCCGGAATTACAGGCATGCGCTACCACGCCCGGCTGATTTTTTGATTTATTGTAGAGATGAGGTCTCGCTGCCCAGGCGGGTCTCGAACCTGCGGGCTCAGGCAATCCACTCACCTCAGCCTCCCAAAGGCGCGGGATTACAGGCTGAGCCACCGAGCCCGGATTGATCACTTTTTTTAAAATTGGGGTCTCACTCTGTGGCCCAGGCTGGAGAGGAAAGTGGCACACTCACAGCTCACCACAGCCTTGACCTCCTGGACTCAGGCGAGTTTTTCGTCTTAACCCTCCAGAATAGCTGCGACCACAGGCACTTGCACCCCACACCCGGCTAACTTTTTTTTATTTTGTTGTAGAGAGAAGGTCTAGCTATGTTGCCCAGGCTGCTCTTGAACTCCTGGGCTCAAGCAGTTCTTTCACCTTGGCCTCCCAAGTGCTAGGATTACAGGCGTGAGTCACTGTGCCCAGACCAATAACATGGTTTATTTGGTGGCGTTTGCATCAATAAATTCTCAGCTGGGGGGAACAAAATGAATTCTGTGAATTTAGCCCCATTTGCGTCATTTTATAGGCCATCATTTAGATATCTTTGCATTATGAACAAGCAGCAATTAC